ATTGAGAATATATAATTTGTTAGAGTGTTGTTGTCGAGCTGTATGCTTTGTAAACTGTGAATTGTTAGGTTGTAGTTATGGAGGTTAGGATGGGGTGTAAGGAGTACCCGTATTCTGTTCCCTTAACTTGTGTTTAGAGGTTTGCTTGTTGAGTACCGCGTGGTTTGGTACTCACCCCTTGCTTCTACAATCTTTTGTAGGTTACGAGCCCGGATCTTCGTGATACCTTTCATTCTCTTCGTTTCCGAGGCTTTCTGTGGAGATCTGATAGGTAGCTGTTTGTCATCTCAGCGAACCTTCTCTGAGGCTTTCTGTGGAGATCTGATAGGTAGTTGTTTGTCATCTCAGCGAACCTTCATACTCTTGTTATGATTTTGTTTTTACTTGAAAGACAACGTCATTTGAGACTTGCGTATTTTATTTCAATTCTAGTATTTACATTAGAGGCTTGTGCACGTGACAACCAGGTTTTGGGGATTGAACTAAGTTGACTTGTTTTCGTAATAGTAATTGTTATTGAACTTTGTTTTATTTCCGCACTTTATCGAAATGCTTGGGTTTTAAGCTGACTTGTCTTGGTGGGATACGACAAGTGCCATCACATCCATTTTTGGGTCGTGACAAAGAGCATGTTATTAAAGCCGAAAAGAAAAGGGAAAAATGTATATAATAACAAACTATTAATTCAAATTAAATGCTATAAACATAGTTTGATTTAATTATACCCTATAACAAACTGTTGCTATTTCGCTTCTCTCCTGGTGAATCTCGCTCGCCATTTTCGTTCTCTCCCTCGCCTCTCTCACTTTTTATACAAACGCAAATGTATAAAATGCGTTTGTGTTTGTATAAAGCGAGAGAAAATTGTATATATACATATATTTTTCCTTCCCCTCTCTCAGATATCGCTCGCCAGTCTCCCAGATCTCGCTCGCCTGTCTCTCCCTTGCCTCTCTCACTTATACAAACAGAAATGTATAAATTGTGTTTTTGTTTGTATAAAGCAAGAGAAAATTGTATATACACATGCAAATACATATATCTTTATCTTATACACTTATAATTATACAATACAAATATTCCCCTGCCCAATCTCTTTTGCCTTTCTCTCTTTCTCGCTTTATACAAACATAGATTATACAATTGATCTTTTGTATATGTATACCGAAACATAAACAAATTGTATACAACTGCTTTCTTTTGTATATGTATAGTGAAATATACATATTTTATATTTGCTATGGAACACAATTATGCAAACTATAGCTATAACATACAAATATAATTTTTATGTTTGCTATATATGAAAGTTGCTCAAAAGAAAAACCTAGAAGAATGGAGTTTGATATAAAACGGAACACATGGAAGGTAATAATATACTCATATTCGATGTTTGTATCAATTTAATAAATATCTCTATACTCATATATTAAATGACACTCCTTTTGTTTTAAGGGAAAATTGTACTTCCTCCATTCCATATTTATTGAATTTTTAAGGTGTTTCACACCCTTTAAGAAAAGTAGATTAAGACATAAATTGAACATAGTTTTTCTATTTTTTACCCTTATTAATTATTGTCAAATTTATTGAAGTCATCACATTGAAAATCCAAATGAAGGGTAAAATTGGAAGAACACTCTAAAAGTAGTCTTGAAAACTGAACAATTAAGTTAATTTGAAAAATGAAAAATGCCTCAAAAATTCAATTAATATGGAATGAAGGGAGTATAACATAGTAAACTATTAATTCAAATTAAATACTATAACCACAGTTTCATTTAATTATAATCCGTAGCAAACACTTGTCATTCGCCTCTCTCCCCAGAAATCTCGCTTGCCACTCTCCATGATCTCACTCGCCACTCTCCCTCCCCTCTCTCACTTTATACAAACATAAATGTATAAATTGCGTTTGTGTTTGTATAAAGCGAGAGAAAATTGTATATACAAATACAAATACATATATTTTCGTCACATACACTAATAGTTATACAAATACAGATCTTCCCCTACCAGTTCTCCTTTGTCTTTCTCTCTTTCTCGCTTTATACAAACATAAATTATACAAATTACAATGTATAATTTGTGTTTTATAAAGCGAGAGTGAGAGATTTGATATACAAATATTTTATTATGATTCAATTGTATACAAATTCAAATTTTATGCAGATATACAAACACAATCATTGATAACATATACATAGTAGTTACATATATACAATTATCTAGTCGATATACATATACAATCGCTGTGCTTTTATACAAATGAGATGATTGCCTGCGATTTATACAAGTTTGGTGCATAGTTTGCTATGGAGCGCAAATAGCAAAACTGTAGCTACAGAGCGCTAATATGATTTTTGTGTTTGCTAAACCTAAAATTTACTCTTGTTTTAATTATGTGGCATCATTTGAATTTTAAGAGTCAAATAATTTAATTTTGACTGTGAATTCATGTCAGGAATCTTCAGGTTTTTTGTAACAAAATTTATATATTTTGAAACAACATAGAAAGTACTGTAAGTCAGCCATAAATTCAAAATATTTGAAAATATATAAAGAAATTATGGTTAGAGATAGATTTATTCGAATCTCGAAATTAAAAGCTACCACATAAATTTAAATAGAATGAGTAATTGATCAATAAATATTCGAGAAAATGGTCAAATGACCCCTCAACCTATTACTAGATTTCCAACTACACACCTATTCTTTGCGGGAGTCCTATTACACCCTTGAACTACTTTAAAATGGAATAAATAACCCCTTAAGTACTGAGTTGGCATAGAGAGTGTATTTCACTCTCTTTGAGAGAGTGAGTTGCCTATTTATTTATTTTTTAATTTCCATTTTTTTTTAATTTTCATTTTTCTTTCTCTTTATTTCTTCTTATTTATCTATACAATTATACATTTTTTCACCATTATCATTGTTGAAGCTTTTTCGATGGATGTTTGGAATAAAAATTATCAACAACAAATGCATTTAATGAATAAATAACTTTTCAATAAACCTATTTACAACATATCTAACAAATTACTTTTTTTTTTAAAAAAACATACCCATTAATTAATATTTTTTTAAAGTGATGGATTCAAGAGTAACAAAATCAAAGTGAAGTAATTGTATATTTAAAAAATATTTTCAAACTTAATAAAAGAAACTAAAACAAAAAAATTTCTTCTACATTTTAAAAGAAAGATCGTACATGTTTTCTTAAAATCCATGAAGAATCAAAATTAAAAACTCAAATTATAAATTAATCATGAAAATTTTAGAGGGAGAAATAATAAAGAATGGGGAAGAGAGAGAGGTTTCTCAAATTGCTGTTACAAATTGGGCTTCTCATCCGCGATTATTTTGAGTTGTCGGCGGAATCTTCAAGGGATGAATCTAATCTCGAATGTTCATGACCTATTTAATGTGTATCTGAAATTGTCTAAGGAAGAAAATCGAACGAAATGTAAAAAAATGTGAAAAATTTGTTGAATTAGTTGGATGAAAGATTTGATTAATTAGGACCGCTATCTTCTAGACTCTAGAGATTTGGAGTAGATGAAAAGGTGAGTTGAATTTTCGCTTTTATAAAATTTTAGAGATATAAAAATTTATTGAGGTAAAAAAATGGTGTTTAGTATAGTTAGGGTTGAAGAAATGATTGGGGAAGAAAGAAAGAGGAAGGAGGAGAATTTTTTTTTTTTAAAAGTTAATCATTAAATGGTGAAATACACGTGTCAAGTGCGTGTTTTCATCACAAGACACATACCTGGTAAAGATATTTCAGGGAGAAAATAATTCCACTTTAAAATAGCTCAG